TTTCTCTTCCCCCAGCGTACTTCCTTTTGTTTGCTTCTCTGAGCCCATAGGTGTGAATTTTTATTTTTTGCAATTTTTATATTACTGAATAGAATGGCTTATGTTCTAGGCAGAGTAATGGGTACTTCTACAAAGAAAAATTAATAGTTTTTGAAATGATGGAAGTTAGTTTTCAGTTAATACCTCACTGCCATCTACTGTAGACGTTGGAAAACTTCACTGTGGGAAGTGCATTGCATTTCAGCAAGGCAAAACGGCTCTTTTTGCCCTAAAGTTGAGAAAAAACCCACTGAACTCTCAACAGGCTGTCACATGTAAATTCCGTTCTTTGTGGAGGAATCAGTATTTCTTAAACAGATGACAATGTCTGATGTCAATATTGTCCAGAAGGACAGGACATCGGATTATAGTTTTGCGTAGATTGTTTTTATTCAGGCCAGATGAAAAGTAGATGTGTATTTTGGGAGGAAGATTGTACCTTGCTCTGCTTATTCTTGCCCTGAAGAGTAAAACCTTTGATTTCCTAGTGGACGTGTCAGAACAGAATAAACTAAAGGGATCAAGATACAGAAATTTGGGATAATTCGAATTTCTTTTAGTTGAGGAATTTATCTTTGATTATTTTCAATTAGCTTTTTTCTCAGTCACTAGTGTTGGTGTTATTATACAGGCACCAAGTATATGAAGTGCTGGTTGGGACATAATAATTTACTCAAAATTGTGAAATTATTGATTTGAAAAGAAAATATCAGGATTTTGGCTGCCAGGAACTGAGCAATATAGCACATGGGTTAGCTCTGCACTGCCAGTGTTTTTGTAATGATTTGTGTAGAGATTACAGGGTTTACTCACAATAGAAATTTCCCTGATTTTCATCAGGAAAGCCGACATCAAATAGATAAGAATGTGTGAAAAACATCAAACTGTGCATTTTACATAAGGAAACTAATTTTCTTAGTCTATTATTATTACAGCTTTATTAGTTTCAGTAGGCTGGGAATACATATGCAACATTTAGCTCCTAAAAGGGCAAATGAAAAGGAAGAAAAGATTAAAAGGTGTATTTAGCAAAGTCTGCTGTTATCCCAGGACACCATTGTGCCTTTGCTGCTAGCAGTGAAAGTTCTGCATATGAAAATGCAGGGATGGAAAGCAGGCGTGTACCTGCAGGTCCCGTTATTCAGTAGGCGTCAGCAGAAGAGAAAAAGGTTTTAAATAAAGAAGGGAGAATTAAACATTCTGATGTCTCTAAAATTATAATTTGTGTGTGATAGCGCTGAAAATGTGTGAGAGAATTACACTATGAAATACAGCTGCGGACAGTTGTTGCTTTTTTTTTTTTTTCCTTTTATGAAATGTTTTAACTGTAAAACCTTGCTGCCCTCGTGTGGGTGTACATGTGCTCCCCGTCTGCCGAAACCAGCAGCGGATGGGTTGTGCTAGAGGAGCAGTACCTACACCAGCATTTACACAGCAGATGAGGACCAGGTCAGACACTAAACTGATCTCGTCTGTCTGGGCCGGGGATCTCAAGCAATGGGGCTGCGATTCCCTGTGGAGACATTTGCTGCGTTTCAATTCTGGAGAATCAGGAGTGCCCTGAGTGTTAGGAAAGCTGTCTTTGCGGCTTACAGAAGGTGACGCAGACTCCTTCTGAACCAGGTGTATATGATTCTCATGTATATCCCGAATTGAGCAGGGGGGCCCATCTAGAAGGGAACGTGCAGTTCTCAGTGTATGAGACAAACCAGAGAACCAGCCACCAGTCTCTCATACACCAGCATGCAGAGCAGCAGTGAGAAAATGGTACAAAAACCAACAGAAAAGGAAGAAAAATAATCCAGCAAGAGCCAAGTTGAATAATTATTTTCATAGCTGTTCCTCTCTGGTGTACAGACAATATTAGCATGAATCGTGTTTTTTCAGGCATTCATGTTGGAATTGCATTATTACCTGTGTATTATTGTGCCATTATCTATATGATATTGTCCAGGTTTTGGCTGGGACAGAGTTAACTTTCTTCCTAGTAAGAGGCTGTGTTTTGGGTTTGTGCTGAGGAGAAGGCTGATAACATGCTGAGGTTTATAGTTGCAGCTAGAATGCAGCTTCTCTGCTGGGCCAGTGTCTGCAGGGGGAAGAGAAGCTGGGAGGGAGCACAGCCCCAGTTACTAGCCTAGGATTGGACCTTAGGACTGAGACCCAAATTGGGCAATGAGCTATTCCATATCATGCACATCATGGCAGTATGTAGATGAGGATCTGTCCAGAAGTTCTCTCTGGGTGACCCCTCTCTCTTGGGCTCTCAGGCTCTTATCTCTTTGCCAGGATTGCAGTTCTGGGACTCTCTCTGCTCCAGGATCGTTAGCCAGGAATGATCTGGGCCTTGGTCATTGGGTGGTGGGCAGTTTCACTGTGTATCACTCATTTGTATATTTGTATATTATTGCTACTATTTTTATTATCATTATTCATTTCAATATTATTGTAGTTATTAAATTGTTCCTATCTCAACCCACAAGTCTCTTTTCCCTTCACCCCTTTAATTCTCTCCCCATCCCAGGAGGGAGAAGGGTGAGTGAGCGCCTGTGTGGTACCCGATTGCTGCTTGCTGGGCCAACCACGACGGTTCTCATACCGTTAGACGCTGTGCTGCATTGTTAGCTAGCAATAATATTTCAGTGCATAGAGTATTAGTGGCCCATCTGCTTGCCAGAATGAAGTGGTCCAAACAAAAGTTCAGTGAATACCACTGCAAAGATATCAACCATTGGGATAAGTTACTTATAAAATGAAGACTTCCTCTTTGGTGATTTATAAAGCAAACAGCAAAACTGAATTTATAACATTGCAGTAAAGGGTTTGAATTAATAGCTTTGACAATCTTGCTTCTGTAAAATAGCCTGTGCAGAAATAGGAGATACCGAATGATAGATAAGCTCTTAAGGGTTTTATTTACTGGATAATTGAACGCTGCATCCTGCTACATTTCAGATATTTCCTAGGCCCTATACATTTCTGTGTGCACACACGACTTTACACGGTATTGAAAATATTCTGTGGATTCTGTTCAGAGCTGATTCTGATAATAAAAATTGAAAAGCCCCAGAGATAAAAAATGCTTTTCAAGGCCAAGTTAGTGAGCTAGTTAGTATGCAAGGGAAAATGCAATCAAAATAAAAATAGGAATACAGTAACTGAGCAGTGCTCAGATCTCTGCTCTTTGCCTGAATTCTTCGTATTCGCTCCCATTGCTGTTAGCACCAAAGGCTATCAAAAACAGATCGCCATAAAATAAAGATGGAAGATGAGACCTGGTGTGGGGGCCTGTACTTGGGAAGGAGAAGGCAGGCCTGTGGCTCTCTGCCAGGTGACACGCAGGCAAGGTGTCACCCGGAGGGATGGAGGGTCACCTCAGGAGTGGTGCTGGCTGCAGGTCCCAGGCGCTGGGCTGGACGAGTCGCTCGCAGCACTGGTCACTCATTTCAAATTGTTTCCCCTCATTTACACCTTTCTTAATAAGTATTTTGAAGATTTGTGTAAAATAAATTAGAATTTTTAAAGCGCAAGTCAGACTGCAGTGTTGTCTGTACATTCCTCCCAGTTCCAATGCCTTACGATATACGGACTAGTAGAATCATCTCATAAAATGTTGACATGGAAAATTCTGTAATTCAAACCATCTTGTTGCAATGCCACTTTGTGTCAACTATTCCTTCCCGCTGACCTCATTAGGTGTGCCCAGTCATTAGATACAGTGCTACTAAAGAGTTTAAACTTAAAAGCCGCTTTGATTAATGATTGGTTGGACTGAGGTTTTACTGTATAGGATTAACTAGATTTAAAAATGGCAAAATGCCATAGCAGCATTAATGCCAGACTTTAATGAGAAGCAGAAGTAAACTCCAAGGACCCTTATGATTTTAATATGGACTAAACTCCTGTGCTCATTGCCTTAATGTCCTGTCCTATTTTATAGACAAGTATTCCAATAATTCCTAGAGCATAGTAGCCTAGGCAGCATATTACAAATACATACTCTGGAGCATATACCCCTATATTTCTAATGAATCATAAATTTTGATAATTTTAGAATCAGATTTATTCGGTGTTATTATCAAATAGAGAAAAATGCTTCATACTGGTTTGCATCTTTTTAATTAAGAAACAATATGGAAGTAAGACAAAACCAGACTGGCAAACATTTTTCCCAATTAATAATGTACTGACAATGTAGATGAAAAATGCATTTTCACATTTTTATGTTGTTTGCTACTTGAATTTCCTTTTACTGTCTTCTTAAGTTCATTTAGTTCTCCTGAAAATTTACAAACCTTGCTCTTCTAGAGATTACTAACCTTATTATTTACCGTTAATCACATAGTTCAGTATCTGATACTGCCAAGAAAACCCAGACCATTCTCACTCCAGACAGCATTCAGTCATCTCCTTAAATCCTACTAGACTTGATAGGATTTAAGCATAGACTTAAAAAGTAACGCGTTGCTGAATGAGGGCCTTTGTACCTAGCATTGGTTCAGCCCGTGGTATCTTTGCAGAGATAACCAAAGGGCTGTGATTTATTATTAGAGCTGAACGGGAAAAATATTTCCCATCCCAGGAGCCTGGGAATCTTTTTTCCTGCATTGATCCTGATTTCCTGATTTTGGTTCTTTTCCAGTGAACTTCCAATAGAAAGAAGTGTGTAATGAAATGTTTGTTTCTGCACAGTAATGTGGTGTGAGAATTCGGCCGAGCATACCCCTAAGCAATACCGACAGTGCTCTGCAGAGGCGGCACTGTTCTGCCACAGCGTGCAGGATGGCATCCAGCCAAACGCTTCTGTTCTCCCTGATGCCACCCAAAGCCCGTTAGCCAGCGTTACCTTTGCGGTCCCCATCAGTAATTTCTGTGCCACGGAGTTTTTTGACTACGGTCTAACATCGCTTCTGTACTCCTTACTTAGTTGACTCATGGATGTTATTTGTTTTTCCTTTTTGTAGGGAGAAGGCCAACAAAAACAAAGGACAAGAAAAAGAAGAAAAAGAATTTGATGGAAAGGGCTCAGAAGCAGCACAGCATCTTTTTAGCAACAGATAAAACAAGCCAGTAAAGACTTGATTTTCTTTAAAATATTTTCTGCGAAGTGCACAAAAGCTGCTATATGCTCCTGCCCATGGATGCACTACGATTCAGCTGCTTTGACAGTATTGGTGGCAAATAACTTGTGAAAAAAAAACCCACAAGCTTGTTTGTTTTATTTATATATTTTTATTTTATTTCTTCCTCTAATTTTTGACCTTAAGACTTCAAGGTCAGGAGTGCACTGAGTTGAATCAGTGGAAATGGTGCTGAAGTGCATCAAAGATTGTGTCCTGACTGCCTGGTCAACACGTTGACATGGAAGGGAAGCAGGAAAAAAGCCTGTGTGTCACCATGAGGGGGACTTATGTGTATTTAAATAAAAAAATTTAAAAAAAAAAAAGGAAGTCTTGGAGGTGTAGGTACTATTGCATTTATGACCTTTGTTTCCTATATTTGTACATTTCAAGAGTAAATGGATATGACTTACCTACTTAGCGTTAATGTGCATGGTTCTCAGCACCTGCGACGTTAAACCAGTTGTATAATAAAACTGCTCTACGACAATATACCACAGGAATCACTGCTTAGAGTTCCGGAAGCACAACAGACTCTGTGTGTACATATTACTCTGTCTACATATAAATAAACATATTTACTGTACATCTACGCATTTTTATGTATAATGATTCATACATGTTTAAAGTTATGTCCTGTTGGTTCTAGTAATATACTTTACAATAATCCAGTAAATGTTTACTTTTTACTATGTTTTAAGTATGTTCTCGTATTTCCCAATAGTTCCAAACAGGATTTTTTTTCTCATTTATGAAGCACATTCAGATGGCTAAACTACCTTGTACTGACCCCACGATGGAGTGTCAGCTCTGAAGTGTACTCACCAGCCCAGCAAACTGCAAATCTTTCCTGCTGTTCTGTACTCCCAGCTAGCCCCGGTGGATTTGGTCTCAGATAAAGAAGTGTAACTTTTTTTTAAGATGAGGCGTGATGATGATAGATGTTTGGAGTGTCAGGAGAGAAATTATGTGGAAAGATCTGGGTATCTAAGACAGTGTCGTTTTTTTCAAATATAATTTACAATGTTTTTTTTTTTTTTTTCTGTTAGTCATGATCCAGTCAGATGCAGCAAACAATTACTTGAAGAGGGGGGGAACAAAAGGAAAAGCTATGTGTGAGTTCAGTCATTCAAAACCATAGTAAACAGCGGTGTCCCAGGATTGTCAGTTATTTGTAGAAGTTTAGCAAATTTAATCTGTGTCTGGTGTTTGTTCTGGGTTTGTTGGTTTTTTTTTTTGGTTGGGAGGAGTGGAGAAAATTCTCTGAGTAGGAAGTCCAAATGGCTCAGGATGTGTAATTTGGTAATCTGTCATTATCGGGCTTGCATTCCAGGAGATTTTTTAACATCTGCTGGGAAAAGCCCACAGTAAAATGTCTGTCACTTATGCTGTCACTTGGAGAAGTTATTCCCGTTCTAGGACTAAAGCTTGTGTATGACCTACACAGAGCAAGGAAAAGGCCAAACAGACCCCACGCCCCACAAAACTCTTTTTGACGTATACTTTAGAAAAATGCCACAAATCTCAGTTTTTGTTTCCTGGGTCATATGCTTTGCAAATAAACTGGGGAAATAAAGCATGCATAAGCACAAACAGATCCATATGTAGCTAGGTCAGGTGTTGCTACAAAGACGTGCAGTAGTTTGTCCCAGATGAATGTTCTGTGGAGCCGCTTGTGGATTTCCACTTAACCATGAGGCTTTCACTGTCTTTCATTTACAATATGTTCATATTTGCTTAGAACTGAATCACATTAAGGACAGTAAGATTGCTCTGATCCTGGGCTGCTATTTCGGACATTAAATGCTCACTTCAATTAAAAAAAAAAAATACAATAAGAACTGTAGCTGCCTGTGTGCTTATTGGTTCTCAGATTTGGCTGTACATGCCGTGAATGCCCTCGTACAACCCTTTTAGTAGTGGTTACAAATACTGTATTAGGCATGTCATGGAAAGAACGCTACAAAATACAATAAAATGATGTCACAAGCTTCTGAGTAGACTATTTTTGGTCCTTTTTAATCCAAAGAGTGTATTCCTTCGGAATAGCATACCCATAGAAGGACTGGAGAAGGTGTGTGGATGCAGATTATTTCCCACTGGCATGGAAAAATTGAGGGTTTTCCAAATAGCAATTTTGTTGATACTTACACCATGTTTGAAAAGTCACTATACATTAGATATACACTGATTTCTCTTGTCCCAGTCATCTTCATAGTCAGAGTTTCCAGGAGAGTGTAGAAAGGAGCCTCTAAGTAGCAAGTCTGCTCCTGTGTAGTGTCTTCACTGTCCTGGACATCTCTTTCTGTGCTGCCTTTGCAGGATGGGTCCTGCCAGTGTATTCATAGCACAGGGGTTTTCATGGGGTCAGACTTCTGCTGAGGTTAGAAAGGGCTGTTCCTTGGACAGTAGGAAAAAGGTTTCTCACTCAGAGGGTGTCAGTCACTGGAACAGGTTCCCTGGGGATATCCCTTTAGATCTTATACACCTGTCCCAGAAGAGACAATTGCAAAGCCCCATTCTGCATTTGGAGTCCATCCTCAATATGCCTTGCCTTATCCTGACCTCCAAGCAGCTGTCTCTTTAAATTAAAACAAAACAAAACAAAACAAAACAACAACAACAACAACAACAACAAAAAACTCAAAAACCCAGGTGCAAGTTTAGAGCAATTATTTTGTAGCTAATTGGTCCCTACTGCATCTCAGCTGGTTTTGCTAGTGATAAGTTATTGTTATGTGTCTCTTATTCCTGGGGAAAAAAAAATGTTGCATTCCACGTTATGTCAATGCAAACCGTCCATATTACAGATGTCAGTATTAGGAACTGCTGTCCTCTTACACCTATGTGCTTAACATAAAGATGTCTGTGAAAGAGAAGCGAATACTTGTAGAATTTACATGATGTCTCACTTTAGCAGCGTGAGTTTTTATTACAGAAAACTGCAGAGCAGAAAAAAAATATAAAATAGATTTTCATTTGAATTAACTAAAAATAAAGCAATAATCAATTAAATGCCATGTTAACTTTATTTTTTCTTTTTTATGTAAATAAAAAATATTGTGAAAATCTTGTTTGAAAGCTTACAAATTGAGAAGAGTTTTCCAGACAGATTAGGATCAAAGTTAGTGCTTCAACTTGGTTATGCTGCTGAAATAGAATAAAAATAACTGGGTGCTGCTGGCACAAGTGCTGTGCTTTTTGAAGTGGGTGGTGCTACTGAAGAGTGCGGGTACCGCTTCCCAGAGGGCAGGAGGGATTTTTTGGATTCAAAATGCACATCTGTTTACCTTCAGCAACAAAATGTACTTTTCTCTTGACACTAGTCCACTTTCACTTCCCATGGTGTAAGCCAGCATGAATTCCAGTACACTGCAGACTGATGTGATTTTGGACTGACACCAAAGAGAACAACATGTACCCTTCGGAAAGCATAACCTCCAAACCGCTGTCAGCTTTGTGTTTAGTTCTTACCGGAAGATCTTTGCTGAACCTGGCGTTGCTGCTTTCATGAGAAGCCTCTGTCCAGGAGGGAGGAGAGGACATTGGCTTTGGGAAGTATGAGAGCAGCCTGATCTACAGGATACCCGAGGGAAGGGCAGACCAGGGGCTGAAGTGAAAGAAACGTGTCGATGTGGTGCTTGGGGACATGGGTTAGTGGGTTGGGTGGTGTTGGGTTGATGGTTGGACTTGGTGATCCTTGAGGTCTTTTCCAACCTCTATGATTCTGTGATTCTATGACCCAACAAAACCCTGCCCAAGAGCCAGGAGTTTTTCAGGAGTCAGCAAAAGAACCTGCAGCAGAGAGAGAAGCAGGGTGTGAGAGAGACACCTATGCAGAGATGAATGTCAGTGAAAAGAGAGGGAAGAGGTGCCGGAGCAGAGATTCCCCTGCAGCCCGTTCAGGACCCCATACGGGAAGAGGTGACTGAGCCCAAAAGAGGCTGTGACTCCATGGGAGGAACCCACACTGGAGCAGTTAGTGGAGAACTGCAGCCCGTGGGAAGGACCCATGTTGGATAGTTTGTGAAGGACTCTCCCGTGGGAGGGACCCCATGCTGGAGCAGGGACAGACTGTGAGGAGCCCTCCCCTGAGGAGGAAGGAGCGGCAGAGACAACATGGACTGGCCGCAACCCCCATCCCTGCCCCCTGCCCCGCTGGGGAGAGAGAAGAACCTGGGAGCACAGCCTCTGAACCTGGAAAGGGAGGGGTGGGGAAGAGGTGTCTTTTGAAGATGTAGCTCTTTTTTCTCATGATCTTGCTCTGTTTTAGATTATGAACAAATTGAATTGGTTTTGTGTTTCCCCGAGTTGAGTCTGTTTCTTGCCCATGACCAAAAGTGGTGAGTGAACCTTCCCTGCCCTTGCCTCAGCCCATGAGGTTTTTACCTTTTTGTTCATTCAGTCCTCCTCCCCATCCCACCGGAGGGAGGAGAGAGTGAGAGGCTGTGTGGTGCTTCGTTGCCAGGTGGCCCTAAACCATGACAATCCTCAAACCCAGTGAAGCTGGATCCTTACTTGAACTGGCCAGTAGTGTACCTGTGGTTGTACCAGCTGTCCAGAGCTGCCCAGCCTCTGGGCTGATTTCAAATTGTGTCCTCAGTGACAGTCATGGAATCTTGTTGATTTTAATTGGGCAATGCCAATGAAACTAATAGTTCATAGACCACAAATGAATAAACACTGAAAATGAGGTTGTTTTTGTTTTTTTTTTTCCCCAGTCACTTTTCAAAATAGACATTCAGCTCAAGAGCTGAGACAGCCATCTAGGTGCAGGAGCTTTGTTAGGTCTTGCAGCTGAACCTGTAAATCCTG